TAGAAGGAAATGTAAGGGCATAAAAATGATGGATTTTCATGTAATTATACTGAGCCTGTGGGGCTCTGCAGGTTGCTAGGAGAAAGTTAGAAATTTAGGAAAGGGAACCAGGTAAATTTCTTAAAAGATTAGTTCGATTGATAAGTTGTTTAAAAATGAACATTTCTCTTAAACATGAAGATGTTTTCCAGATTTGTAACATTTGTATATTCAGGGGATATTATAGGCATTTCTCAAAATTGCTCAGTTTTTTATTAGTATATCATGGTGTAATTCAACAACTTTGTAATGAACTTAATAGCATTTTCATCTCTACCTCCCCCCAAAATTGGGGGTTTTAAAAATGTTAGTATTATTTCATTTTATCCATAATTTCCTTTCTGCTTATTTGCCCCTATTTACATGAATTTTAAAAGTTTTCCTTTCTAATTTTTAGTTAATTATTTAAAAGTTTTTTTTCCTCTAAAAACATGCAGGTAACTTCTTTAAATTCTAGGTTTAGTTTTCTATATTTAATGCAATTTAAAGTTATTTTGAGTACTTTTAAGTTACTTTAAAAAATTATTTTGGTCAGTGATGCTTTGTCTTTCTGTTCCTCAGTAACAAAACATGATAACACAATTTTAGGTTATTTCATATACTTCACTCAATTTCTTTTTAAATTTAAACTAACTTACAGCAGCTCCAACTAAAACTTTTAAGAAATCTCAATAAAGTAAATATCTAATTTCTTTGATAAACATTTTGAAGATCTTATTTGGTCAGGAGGCATGGAACTTAAATTTGTTTAATTTAATTGCATGTTGTATGTTAAAATAGCTGTATTTTAAAAAATAAAGCTTTATANAGTTAATTATTTAAAAGTTTTTTTTCCTCTAAAAACATGCAGGTAACTTCTTTAAATTCTAGGTTTAGTTTTCTATATTTAATGCAATTTAAAGTTATTTTGAGTACTTTTAAGTTACTTTAAAAAATTATTTTGGTCAGTGATGCTTTGTCTTTCTGTTCCTCAGTAACAAAACATGATAACACAATTTTAGGTTATTTCATATACTTCACTCAATTTCTTTTTAAATTTAAACTAACTTACAGCAGCTCCAACTAAAACTTTTAAGAAATCTCAATAAAGTAAAAATCTAATTTCTTTGATAAACATTTTGAAGATCTTATTTGGTCAGGAGGCATGGAACTTAAATTTGTTTAATTTAATTGCATGTTTTATGTTAAAATAGCTGTATTTTAAAAAATAAAGCTTTATATAAAACTTCATGAAACATAATCTCTAAACAATATGAAGAAATTTCTGAAATTGCTGGGTATTTCTTAAAGTGTTAAGATTTGAAATGTCATTTGAACATTGGAATACGAAATCAAGTCAGTAGAATTGCTTGTCTTGAACTTTTTCTTCTCCAAATGTGTAATTAGTGTATTATCTTTGCAATTATTGTAAAGGTAAATGAAGATGATTGGGTGAGTAAATTT